AAAACTATATTATATTATTAACTTTGGTAAAAAATTGTATAAAATATGAAAAAATATTCAACATAAGGAATAGTATATAAAATAAACATATGTATTGAATATTATTACTTTAAAATAAAAAGATAAATATATATTTTTAAATTTATAAGATTTAAAAATAACAGTTGTAGTGTTTCTAATTATCGCGCCCACGAAGAGTCCGTGCTTAGTTCGCTGCATTATGTCGCTATGACAGATTTTCTAGTCAAAAATGTCATCAACTTTAACGCTTAATATCTCGGTTCGCGAGACAGATCGCCGCGTTTTTTTGCCAGATTCTTTTATCTATTTAACTATTCATGCGTCCATTTCCTACTATGTTCGATTGGCACTGTGTCCGATTGACACTATGTCTTTGTAGCTACCGTGTGTCCATTTCCTATCCGATCAGAACTGTCCGATTTTCAATGTATCCGATTGCCATTGTGTCCGATTTTCACTGCGTCCGATTTCAATTACCTTGTGTCCGTTCCTTATTGTGTCCGTTTGGACCTGTGTCCGATCCATTCAATTTGCTGTATCCGATTTATTCTGTGCGCAACTAGGACTCATTCTGTTTATCTCATGGCGTGTCTCAAATACTCTTGTAGCATTATATTTCTCGACATTGTGATATTTTGCTTGTGATATTTTTTTATATAAGAATAAGTTAATCGCGGAATAGCCTCATCCGGTACGTCGCTCACAGGTCCGATACTTTATAATAATTACGCTAAATTTCTCAAACAATTATAAATATACTTATATATATATGCGATTACGTTAAATATAATGTCCATTTATTTTTAGAATAAGAACAAATAATAATTTTCAAAGAAAATAACATTTTTTTAAATTTTCAATATTCTAAATTTATAATAAAAAAATCTAATAATAAAAAAAGTGGAGAATAGTATTAATCTGTATAAATCTTTGTCCGTCATGTTTTACATACCAAATATACTGTATTATATTTATATGTACCTGTATAAATCTTTACAGATTAACTATTCTCCAAAGAGAAAATAACTCTTTATTCTTTATTAGTTCACTTTATTTTCTCTCATTAATTACTATTTTCTGAACAATAAATTATTCATTAATCAATATTCAATATTCACTCAATACTGAACACTCCTATTTATTTTCTTTAACACGCCTTTAACAGAATAAACTTTTACGCTTTACGATTTCATTTCATATATATATATATATATATATATATATATATATATATATATATATTAGGTAGTACAAAAAAAGTTACTGAGCTTTTTTTATGTAAAAATTCAAATCTTTAATTCAAAAACAACAAAAAAATATTCATTGAAAATCAAAAAAATCAACGAAATATTTCCCGTTTGCATCAACGACCTTTTGCCATCTTTCAGGTAGCTTGTGAATTCCTTGACGATAGAAGCTCACCGACTTCGAAGCGATAAAGTCATCAATGCATTTTCATATCTCTACAAATCTTACGAAATGTGTATCAGCCAAATGATGCTGCAGCGACCGGAATAGGTAGTAATCGGAAGGCGCCATGTCTGGGCTATACGCCGCGTGCGGGAGAAGTTCCCAACCTAACGCAAAGATATGGTCCTGAGTCACTTTCGCAACATGTGGTCGAGCATTGTCATGAAGCAAGACTACTTTACGACGTCCTTGGCCAGTAAATGGCCTCTTTTCTTCTAATGCAAAGCTCAAATTGGTCAATTGTTGTTGGTAGCGGTCTGCCGTGATTGTTTCACCCGGTTGTAACAACTCGTAATACACTCGTAATACAACACACTTTTCCAATCCCACCAGATACAGAGCAAAACCTTCTTGGCGTGGATATTGGGCTTTGGCATCGATGTCGAAGGTTGACTAGAGGTCAACCGATGATTTTCTACGTTTAGGGTTATCATAAAGAATCCACTTTTCATCGCCTGTAATGATTTTGTGCAGAAAATCTTTTTTCCGGAACTTTGAAAGCAAAGTGAGTGCAGTGTCACGCCGACGATTTTTGTTGTTTTCGGACAATTCATGCGGAACCCATCTGCCTTCCTTCTGAACCTTTCCCATCGTATGTAAACATACGGAAATGGTTTGCTGCGTAACGCCAAGCTGTTTCTGCAAGCTCCTTTTCAGTTTGCGCAGAGTTTATATCCAGCAGTGCTTGCAATTCGTCCGTGCAATTCATCCGTTTCAATCTTTTGAGGGCGTCCAGCACGCGATTCATCTTCAAGACTGAAATCTCCTTGGCGAAATTTTTGATACCATCTTTTACATGTAGTATGACTTATAGCGTTCTCTCCATATGCAGCACAAATCATTGCAGTGGCTTCAGCAGCATTTTTCTTCAGATGAAACACGAAGTAGATGGAAAATCGAATATGCTTTTTTGTTATTGCCATCATGAACACTACTGATTTTTGAGGTTATGTGCATCAAACGCCAAATCATATAGCATTTTAGAAGGCCAAATGTTAACGCTTTAAAACCGCAAAAGGGCGGGAAGATATATAAAATTTAAATTGTTATTTCAGTTATTTCGGTTGTATAAAATCTAAAGCACAGAACTTTTTTGT